GTTATGAAGAAGGAAGGATACGACTTGTTGCATTAGTTCAAAAGTTAGTAAACTTATTTTCATTATTTTTAAGAAGAGAACAGTATCGTATATGATGACTACAACTCAAATTAAAAAAAACTGAAATAGGGATTAAGTGGACTAATTATATCTGATTAAAAGCTCATGATTATATTAGGAATGAAAATTAGGATATTGCACAATAAATGAATCTCTTTTTACAGGTTGTCAAAACACAACCAAAAAATCTTTTATCAACAACTTTATGGAAAGTAATGGTTAAATAATCATACTAAAAATTTAAGTAAAAAGTTGACGGGTCATGGGTTTTTGAAACAACAGAACAGGATTCGAAGAAAGTTAGAATGTTTGTTTTAGATAAACGAGACAGTGTCGCTTTGTTACCACTGACGTTTGAATGTGTGGACAAACAAAGTATTATTATCTTAAATGGTTATAAAGCTTATCATATTTTAAGCTCTCATTTTAATAAGCATAATGTAATTAACTATAGTGAAAACTTCACAAATTTAACAACTGTGTGTCATATACAGTTGATTGAGTATATATGAAGTCATGCAAAGCTAAAAAAATGAGAAATAACAGAAAAGCTATTATTTCTGTTTTACAAAACCATTTGAACTTTTTTTGCTTTTGTTAACGAAATAAAGGATTCAAATTTATAAAATTATTAATAAATTTTTTATTTTGTCAATAAGCTTACCCCTTGGAGTAGAGTTTGTTGATAAAATATATTGTTTTTAAATTAAATTTGTTAACAAAATTCAATAAAAAATTATGATGTGTCAATCCAATTGACAGATTAAAACTATAAAAAAAGAAGAACCAATCACAACATTGCTAAAAATCAATGTTTCTCTTAATATTTTTTTCAACTCTAATATCTTTCCATGTCTACACCTATTAATTTTTATAAAACAAAACTTTAATTTTTCTAATTTTTTCATATTTATAGCTTTTTACTTAATTTCAATCAATAAAAATTTCTATTTTTTAATAATATAAACTAATTATTTTTAAAAATTGATGGTGTGATATGTCTATTTTTATATTATTTAAAGAAATGTTAATGTATTTTAATTTTACAGATTTATATTTTTTGAGTTTATTTTTATTAAAGTATGTAAAATAATATAATTAATGTTATATTCAATAATATTTATTTAAAAAATTAAATTTTTGTTCATATTATTGATTTTATTTTATAATTTATGTGTAAAAAACTTTTCATCACTTTTATCTTTTTAAAAAATTCTTTTTTGATAGTAATGATTTTAAGAAACAATATTTAT